GCTGGATGAAGCTCAAGCTGGAATGAAGATTGCCAGGAGAAAATATTGATAACTTCGGATATGCAGATGACACCACCCTTATGACAGAAATCGAAGAAGAACTAAAGAGCCTCTTGATGAAAGTGAAAGAGAAGAGTGAAAAAGGTGGCTTAAAATTCAACATTCAAAAAACAAAAATCATGGCATCCAGTCATATCACTTCATGGCAAACATATGGGGAATCAATGGAAACAGTGATAGGCTTTATTTTCTTGGACTGCAAAATCACTGCAGATAGTGACTGCAGCCATGAAATCAAAAGATGCTTGCTCCTTGAAAGAAAAGCTATGACAAACCTAGACAGTGTATTAAAAAGCAGAGACATCACTTTGCTGGAAAAGGTCTATCTAGTCAAAGCTATGGTTCTTCTAGTAGTTATATACTGATGGGAAGGCTGGACCATAAAGAAGGTTGAACACCAAGGAATTGATATTTCTGAACTGTGGTGCTGGAGAAGACTCTTGAGAGTTCCTTGCACAGAAAGGAGATTAAATCAGTCAATCCTAAAGGAAATCAGTCCTGAGTATCCATTGGAAGGACTGATGCTGAAGCTTCAATACTCTGGCCACCTGATGCAAAGACCCAACTCACTGGAAAAGACCCTGATTGAGGGAAAGATTGAGGGCAGGAGAAGAGGGAGACAAAGGATAGGATGGTTGGATGGTATCACTGACTAAACGGATATGAATGTGAACAAACTCCAGGAGATGGTGAAGGACAGGGAATCCTGGCATGCTGCAGTCCATGGGATCACAGAGTTGGACACGACTAAGCGACTAAACAACATTATATGTACTATAAGCTGTAAAAAAGAAAAAAATTTAAGGTTCTTATTATTAAAATGTTTAAAACTCCAGGCACCTATTGCGGTTGTATCAAACAAGGCAATGAAGAAAGGATATTCATCCAATGCTCGGGTCTCCCCACTGGTTCCAATAAATACAGTATTAGAATGATTGGACTTTGCAGCCCTGTGAACACATAAAGACACAGGAAGCAAAGCAAAGCGAAGGTAACTAACAGCAGAGAAAGAGTGAGAGAAGCGAGAAGACATGGGTGATCAGAGGAGGGGAAGCCAGGTGCAGCTGGGCAGAGCCAGGAGGAACAAGACGTGCAGGTCAGCAGAGCAAGAAAGACATTCCACTGCAGAGGCCGCAGGCGAGAGGCAGGCACTGGCGCCTCAGAGGAGGCCTCTGGAATCCCCCAGGGCACAGGACCTGCTTCCATCACTGGGGATCAGGTTACAGGACTTTGAAACTGGATTACAAAGGGTCCAGTCCCCTGAGCCAGGAATTAACAGAAATCCAACCAGAGAGTGATCTGTACTTGGCCGCAGGGCAGCAGGCCTCTGAAACCCAAACCTGTGAGCTAATGACAAATCTCGGAGGAGGAGGGGTTGGGTCCTTAGGGGCCAGATTCCTTTATTACTGATTTTACACACTTCTTTTCCCCAGAAGTGGAAAGCATCCAGGATATTTTAAATACAAAAGAACTTGCCATCTTAGAAAATTCTGGGATTTTTTTCATTTTTTTTTTCCCAGAAAAAAATTTCAGTTTTTTACATTTTTTTCATCTCCTGAGTTCTGAATAGTAATACCAGCTCCTCCTGCAAGGTTTATGAAGTTACTTTCAGTAGAAATGAAAACAGGGAGTTCCCTGGTGGTCCGGGGGCTAAGATTCCACACTCCCCATGCAGGGGGCCTGGGTCCCACCCCTGGTCAGTTAACTACATCCCACACTGTACAATGAAGATCAAAGACCCCGTGTGCCACACCTGGGACCTGGCAGAGATGAATAAATAAATAAAAATAAATACTTTTTTAAAAATGAAAACAAATCTGGGGTCGAAGCTTATAATAATCCACAATGAGCTAATTTCCAGGCTAAAAATCCACAACAGGATAGTGGATAAAAATGCCTGGTCTCACCTCCCCCAGCTGCGGCCTGGCTCTGCAGCTAAGGTCAACAAGACGAGAGGCAGGACAGGTGACAGGTAATCACCTGGCACCCATTTGCTTCGGGCCGAGCCCAAGCCAAGTTCAAGCCGATGTCATTAACTGAACTGAGAGAAGAAAGCTGTGGAAACAGATGCGGTGTACTCACCCACAAACCATTTAACACTGAAACAAACCACGTAACTCACAGAACTGGAGCCAGGCCAGGTCACTACTTGCCTTTAAGTTTGTGATGGTCGTTTTGCTTTTCTCCATTTGAATAATGAATTTGGCTTCCAAGTCCTTTTCCCTGCAACACAGTAATTCAGTATTGGTTAGGCAGGAGAGAAAAGGGTGTTTCTACAATTTTTGTTGTGTTTACTTTTTATGTATGGCTGGGGGCTAAGATTCCACACTCCCCATGCAGGGGGCCTGGGTCCCACCCCTGGTCAGTTAACTACATCCCACACTGTACAATGAAGATCAAAGACCTCGTGTGCCACACCTGGGACCTGGCAGAGATGAATAAATAAATAAAAATAAATACTTTTTTAAAAATGAAAACATATCTGGGGTCGAAGCTTATAATAATCCACAATGAGCTAATTTCCAGGCTAAAAATCCACAACAGGATAGAGGATAAAAATGCCTGGTCTCACCTCCCTCAGCTGCGGCCTGGCTCTGCAGCTAAGGTCAACAAGACAAGCGGCAGGACAGGTGACAGGTAATCACCTGGCACCCATCTGCTTCGGGCCGAGCCCAAGCCAAGTTCAAGCTGATGTCATTAACTGAACTGAGAGAAGAAAGCTGTGGAAACAGATGCAGAGTACTCACCCACAAACCATTTAACACTGAAACAAACCACGTAACTCACAGAACTGGAGCCAGGCCAGGTCACTACTTGCCTTTAAGTTTGTGATGGTCGTTTTGCTTTTCTCCATTTGAATAATGAATTTGGCTTCCAAGTCCTTTTCCCTGCAACACAGTAATTCAGTATTGGTTAGGCAGGAGAGAAAAGGGTGTTTCTACAATTTTTGTTGTGTTTACTTTTTATGTATGGCGATCTGTTTTTATTCAGCACATGAGGCACAATCTGTAACTCCTCCCAAATCCTTAGGAATATAAACATGAGGATACACAACACAGAGGCCATTATCAAAAACTTAAGGCTGAAAATGCTCTATTACTCAAACCCTGGGAGAATTTCTACATGGGAACCAAAAGGAGTATAAATGCAAAGACAGAGAGCATGGATAGCGATCTAGGCAACAGGGGCCCCGCCCAGCCGGGACAGAGGAAAGGCACCTACCCTCCACCCGGGACCAGGACTGGGAAGAAACAGCAGTGAGTGCTCCCAGCCAGGATGCTTCCAGAGGCAGCCAGGTCACCGCACTCCCCCACCTTCCCTCCACATCCATCCAGAAACTGTCATTCCCAGAAAACACTCGAGCAGGAAGTTAGGAGAACTCCTAAAATAAACAAGCCGACACCCACACAAGGGAGTGGGGCATCCCTGGTAAAGGAAAGAGGAAGGTCTCTAGGTACTGCTGTGGACAGAGGCCAGGGGACGCTGAGTGGGAAATTCAAGGTGGAGAAAAGCATAATTGGATGCTACCCACGTGTATTTAAAGATAAAAAGGATAACCTATTTACCTGTCAAAAGGGCACCTAGGGAGAAAGAAGAGACAGAGAACAAAGCTAGATTTCTACAAAAACATCTTTATCTGTAGATTCTGTTTAGAATGATGAAGATAATTTACACAAAAATAAAACAATTTTTATTAAATAACCTAAAACCCAAAAGTTTTATGACCAACCTAGACAGCATATTAAAAGGCAGACATTACTTTGCCAACAAAGGTCCGTCTAGTCAAGGCTATGGTTTTTCCAGTGGTCATGTGTGGATGTGAGAGCTGGACTATAAAGAAAGCTGAGCGCCAAAGAATTGATGCTTTTGAACTGTGGTGTTGGAGAAGACTCTTGAGAGTCCCTTGGACTGCAAGGAGATCCAACCGGTCCATCCTAAAGGAGATCAGTCCTGGGTGTTCATTGGAAGGACTGATCGTGAAGCTGAAACTCCAGTACTTTGGCCACCTGATGTGAAGAGCTGCCTCATTGGAAAAGACCCTGATGCTAGGAAGGGTTGGGGGCAGGAGGAGAAGGGGACGACAGAGGATGAGATGCTTGGATGGCATCATCAACTCGATGGACATGGGTTTGGGTAAACTCCAGGAGTTGGTGATGGACAGGGAGGCCTAGTGTGCTGCAATACATGGGGTCGCAAAGAGTCGGACACGATCGAGCAACTGAACTGAACTGAAAACCCAAAAGTAAGTTGAATCTGTGCGCTGCACAGTGAGAAAAGATCTCACACTAGATTCCTTGGGGAGGAGGAATCTAGGCTAAGGAAAAACAGAACTATTAACACAAAGCAAAGGTCAAGTTTTTTTTAGGCATCATATTTTGGTGATAAAATAAGTGTATTTATCCAAGCATTTCTGCCTGCGTATTGAAGGATAATACATGAGTAATTATGTTGCTGCCCCTGATAATGAAGGTTTTTGGTTTGAAAGGAGATACAAACATCAGATTTGTTAAAAAGAAACTGTAAGACCAAAATGGAATCACTCAAGCTAAGCCCCACCAAGACCTAATACCTAACTTAAAGCAGCTTCAGCCTCTCCCAAGAGTAAGTCTTGAACCAGTCCATCTGGAAATTCCTGGTCTAAGGTAACCTGCCTGGTAAGAACCCCGCAGTCCCCCAGGGAAGCTGACTTGGACAGAAATAATCTACTTTTTTTTAACTTCCTTGTCACAGCCTCCTTCTGCCCATAAAAGCCTTCCATTTTGTACAGCTCCTGGCAGGGCCTTTCTACTTGCCAGGTGGGGATGCTGCCAGATTCATGAATCATTGAATAAAACCAATAAGATCTTCAAATTGACTCGGCTGGATTTTTTTCAACAGATTGATGACGCAAGGTAAAAACTCCTTAGTCCTAAATCTAAATGGGAAATCTAAGATGAACTTTAACCTGAAATTGAAAAGAAGTACTCCCCAGCTTTGTCCTCGGAAAAGGCCTAGAGTCGTATGGCCAAAGTAGTATCTAAATACCATTTTCCACTAAAGTTCACCAGGGCTCACTGGAGAAGACTCAATTCAAATATACAGGCAGACCTCAGAGATACTGTGGGCTCCTTCCAGACCACGGCAGTAAAGTGAGTATCACAACACAATGAGTCACATTAACTTTGCTGTTCCCGAGAGCGAATCAAAATTATGTTTAAAATGTGCAATAGCATTTTGTCTAAAAAGCACAAGGTACATACCTTAATTTAAAATTACTTTATTACTAAAAACTGCTAACCATTATCTGAGCCTTCGACGAATGGTCATCTCTCTGTTGGTGGAGGGTCTTGCCTCAGTGCTGATGGCTGCTGACTGAGGCAGCTACGGCGGTTTCTTTAATGTAAGACAACAATGAAGTGCTCCTCACTGACTGACTCTTCCCTTCATGAACAATTTCTCTGTAGCATACAATGCTGTTTGACAGTATTTAAACCAAAGACTGATCTTCAGTCCTGGGTGTTCATTGGAAGCACTGATCCTGAAGCTGAAACTCCAATACTTTGGCCACCTCATGCGAAGAGTTGACTCATTGGAAAAGACCCTGATGCTGGGAGGGACTGGGGGCAGGAGGAGAAGGGGAAGACAGAGGATGAGATGGCTGGATGGCATCACCAACTTGATGGACATGAGTTTGTTAATCTACTTTTTTTTAACTTCCTTGTCACAGCGTCCTTCTGCCCATAAAAGCCTTCCATTTTGTACAGCTCCTGGCAGGGCCTTTCTACTTGCCAGGTGGGGATGCTGCCAGATTCATGAATCATTGAATAAAACCAATAAGATCTTCAAATTGACTCGGCTGGATTTTTTTCAACAGATTGATGACGCAAGGTAAAAACTCCTTAGTCCTAAATCTAAATGGGAAATCTAAGATGAACTTTAACCTGAAATTGAAAAGAAGTACTCCCCAGCTTTGTCCTCGGAAAAGGCCTAGAGTCGTATGGCCAAAGTAGTATCTAAATACCATTTTCCACTAAAGTTCACCAGGGCTCACTGGAGAAGACTCAATTCAAATATACAGGCAGACCTCAGAGATACTGTGGGCTCCTTCCAGACCACGGCAGTAAAGTGAGTATCACAACACAATGAGTCACATTAACTTTGCTGTTCCCGAGAGCGAATCAAAATTATGTTTAAAATGTGCAATAGCATTTTGTCTAAAAAGCACAAGGTACATACCTTAATTTAAAATTACTTTATTACTAAAAACTGCTAACCATTATCTGAGCCTTCGACGAATGGTCATCTCTCTGTTGGTGGAGGGTCTTGCCTCAGTGCTGATGGCTGCTGACTGAGGCAGCTACGGTGGTTTCTTTAATGTAAGACAACAATGAAGTGCTCCTCACTGACTGACTCTTCCCTTCATGAACAATTTCTCCGTGGCATACAATGCTGTTTGACAGTATTTAAACCAAAGACTGATCTTCAGTCCTGGGTGTTCATTGGAAGGACTGATCCTGAAGCTGAAACTCCAATACTTTGGCCACTTTATGCGAAGAGTTGACTCATTGGAAAAGACCCTGATGCTGGGAGGGATTGGGGGCAGAAGGAGAAGAGGAAGACAGAGGATGAGATGGCTGGATGGCATCACCAACTCGATGGGCATGAGTCTGAGTGAACTCCGGAAGTTGGTGATGGACAGGGAGGCCTGGCGTGCTGCAATTCATGGGGTCGAAAAGAGTTGGACACGACTGAGCGACTGAACAGAACTGAAACCACAGACTCAAAATTGGAGCCAATCCTCTCAAACACTGCTTTATCAACCAAATTTATGTAATATTCTAAATCCTTTGTGGTCACTTCAACAATCTTCACAGCATCTTCACCAGGAGTAGATTCCATCTCAAGGACCACTTTCCTTGCTCATCCATAAGCAGCAACTCCTCATCCATCAAGGTCTTCAATGAGGTGTAGCAATTCAGTCACATCTTCAGGCTCCGCTTCCAAAGCAGTTCTCCTGCTATTTCTACCACCTCTGCAATTACTTCCTCCACCTAAGTCTTGAACTCCTCAAACTCATCCATGGGGGCTGGAATCAACTTCTTCCAAGTACCTGCTAATGCTGATATTCTAACTTCTTCCCATGGATCATGCATGCTCTTAATGGCATCTAGAACGTCGAATCCTTTCCAGAAGGTTTTCAATTTACTTCGCTCAGATCCATTAAAGGAATCACTATCTATAGCAACTACAGCCTTATGAAATATATTTAAAGAATAAGACTT